GTGGGACTCACAGAGGTGGGAACAGGGGCACCTGGTACCTCCTCAGGGCCTTCCCAACTGGGGGGGTGGCAGATGGTCACTGCCTGCACCCACATTGGCCACTTAAAAGGACACCATTCCGTGGGACCTAAAGGCTTGAGGCAGGGGACTCCCAGCCTGACAGCCGAGGCCTGGTCTCCCCTCCCCCTGTCCGCTGGTCCATGCACCCAGAGAGTGAGGACCAGCACTGGGGGGGTTGGGGGGGCTTGGGGAAGAGAAAGCAGGCAGATCCACGGGGTCCCAGCCCTGCTTCCCTCTCTCCATAGTCCGTTCATCCCTGCGTGGGTATCAGGGTAGCTCAGAGCAGGCCCGTCACCAAATCAATCCCAGGCGACCAAGGCGACTCCCGGCTGTTCCTCTGACTTACAGTTAGAAGGTGTCTCCCGGGAACTGGCTTCTGCTCTGGGCTTCGTGTTGGGACCTGCGCTCAGAGTGACCCCCCCCCCAAAGTGCTCACAGTAACTTCTCCCAGGTGCATTAAAAGATTCCCCGGCATTTTAAAAAATGTTGGAAACACATTTGAGGCCGCTTTTGACGTGAAATCGTTGATCAGAGTGGTCCCGAGCTTCCTGCCCCTCGAGGTCCATTGAGTGAGAAGCGTTTCTCACCATGTCCCTGTCGGGAGAGCTGAGGACAGTTGGGGCTCAGCGGTGTTGCTGGACCTCCCGCCGGTCACGTGCCGATGCTAGGCCCTGGGAGGGACTCAGAGACGCGGGACACATCTGTCCTCAAAGAGCTGATCACGTGCTCCGGGAGACAGACAAGGACACTGTCCAGACAAAGTACCAGATCGTAACACCAAACGCTTCCCTGTCCTCACGCCAGGGACGTGCAGGGGCCCCTCATGACAGGGCAGGTGACCAAGGAGACCTTTCCGTAGAGCAGCGATTCTCAACCTGTCTTGTCTCCCAGCACATAAACTAATTACTAAAATTCTGCGGCACACCAAAAATTATACGTTTTTGCCGATCTGACAAAAAAAAAAGGTATCATTTTGATTCAGTCATGCTGGACGGCTATTCTGTTGGCTGTTGTCATTTTTTTATTTGACAATCCAAGGGAGCAGAGGTCAGTGCCCCTGACTGGACATCCATGTTTTAAAAAAAATCTTGCGTGCCCGGCCGGCGTGGCTCAGCGGTTGAGATCGGCCTGTGAACCAGGAGGTCGCGGTTCGGTTCCCGGGCAGGGCGCAGGCCCGTGCTGTGGGCTCGACCCCCAGCAGGGGGCGCCCAGGAGGCGGCCTACAGATGATGTTTCTCTCACCCTCTCCCTTCCTCTCTCTAAAAATCAATAAAAATATTTTTTTAAAAAGAAAGGAAAAAATTCTTGTGGCACGCAGGTTGAAAATCGCTGCCATAGAGGGAACACGCAGCCGAAGGGACCGGGTGGCCAGGGAGGTGGAAGCAGTGGGTGCCCTGGGCGGGCCTGAGCAGGGGGCGGGTGAGGGCAGGGACCCCAGGACACCCGCGTAGCCGAGAACTCGGCCGGAGGGCGGTTTGGGTCTTGGCCTCCGCCAGCTCCCCCTTCCCCGGGTTCACGGCCCTGCCCTTGCCCCCCCAGTGCCAGCACGGTGGGCAGCTTCAACCGGCAGTGCCTGTCCTGCGAACTGGTGGGCAACTGCACCTACTTCAGCGCGTCCTTCAGCCACAGCGCGGACTTCTTCCTGCTCACGTGCGAAGGTGGGTCCCGGCCTCGGACCCGCGTCTCAGTCGGCGCCCATGTGTGTCTCTCCCCTCGATGTTTCCCTCTCCCAGCCTCCCCTCCCTCCCCCTCCCGTCCATTCTCTCTAAAAATCAATGGGAAAAAAATACCCTCCTTGGGTGAAGATTTAAAAAAAAAAATGTCCCGTGAGCTAGTTGGGGCAAGTGTTTTACACACCGATGGGCCCAGGCCCATAAAGGTAACGAATCAATGTCAAGGGTGGGCCTCCTAAGTGTATTTAAGGAATGAGGTTAGATGAAAGGGGTATCAGACAGGAAAGCGAATGTTGTCCTGGGGCCCAATTCGTAGATAACTTATCCCCAACTTCAGAAAGGAAAGGAATCTTCTAAAAAGACATAAACCTGGCCCTGGCCCGGTGGCTCCGTTGGTTCGGACGGGAAATTTTGTCCATTAAATCTGATGTCCGTTCAGTCGAGGTCAGCAAAATCCAGGGTTTGCTGTACTTTTGTTGGGGTCCCATGACTGACGTGGCACAAGGCCTTTCACCCCGCAGCCTGGCCCCCGCCTGGCCCGTGCTGACCCTCCCCGGGGCCAGAGTTCACAGACCATCGAACCCTAACCCAGGCTCAGACCCTCCTCTGCTCTCAGATCAACTAACAGCCTGTTTGTGTCTCTTTTCCCGCTTCTCTCCTCGACCCGACGCAGGTCCTGGGGTCCCCAGGGTGACAGTGCACAACACAACCGACAAGAAAAGTAAGTGCCTCTGGTCTTTCTTACATCTCCCGAGACCCGAGACGCGGGAGAAGGGAGCAGAAAGCCTCACGAGATAATCAGGCCGAGTTTTCCTCTTTGGGGACAGAGATGGGCGGGGCCTCGAGATTCAGAAGGGACCCCACCCATCGCCAACATCGCTTAAGTGCCTGACGGAAGGAAAGTCAGGAGGCCCCACCCCCCACCCCACATGTGCCGAGGCCTGGACACCATCTCGGGCCACAAAGTGCTTCACATGTGACACTCTGAGCACCAGCCCTGCCCAGTCTGCCCCCCTCTTACGACCTCCCATGGGCTGGGGCTCGGTGGCTCTCCCCGGCTCACCTGTCCTGGGGGGCCTGGGGCACCTTCAAGGCAGGAGGGGTGTGGAGTGCAGGGAAGAGCTTTCCAGGGGCTCCTGAGGGACGTACGGCTCTTTTTTGCTTGAAGGGACCCCACGCAGGTTGACACAGGACATCTTTCTTTTTTAAAAATGAAAATGTGTCCTTTTCATTTTGAATATTTGTTAGAACTCAGGAGTATGTGGCTCATTTCCTGATGAAGTTTTTTCCTCCCTACAACCCCGAGGCCTGATGAAAACTGAGTAGGGGAGGGTGTCGCTCAGCCACTTTCCTGGTCTAGATTCTGCGTTTGTGAGACATGATGTCACCAT